GTATTTTACTTTGAAATTCGGATAATCTGAAATAATTTAATATCCGTATCCGTAACCGTATCCAGTATAATAATCATTTATTATAATTTACACAGTTTATTATAACAAATTTAATTATTTTCAGGTGTCTACAAAATGGTAGAGGAGAAAGGGTGAGATTTATTTATTTTTTTATGTTATTGATCCTTTCTTGCTGTCCTATTATTACCTTCTCGTATCCTTCGACAGGGCGTCCTACAACATGATGAGTTGTTTCACTACTAACGTAGAAATGTGGCACACGAACACGCCACAAAAACCTTGGTGGTAAATCTATAGAATACTAGCTTCTGCCGGCGGCTTCGCTCGCGTTGCCGGAATAAAAAGTAGCCTATGTGTTATTCTAGATTATGTTTATCTCTAAAATTATCATTTAAATCCTCTTCGTAGCTTAGTGACACAAAAAATCCATTTATTATGTTAGTAGGAAGTTATGATTGTATTTAATTATTTTCTTCTATAAATGTAGTTTGTTATATTTATTATCGTTTAGTAATTTTGAGATATTGAAAAATATACATAGTTGTAGCGTGTTTATCGCATTCATTTAAAATGAGTAATTAATTTCGACAGGGATAATGTAGCCGCAATGTACTTCCACGATCGACAAGAATGCGACAAGCCTCCTGAAACCCAATCAAACACGGAGAACGTAAATATTGAACCATGCGGTTGTAGAAGCACTAATAAAATACCACAAACTGATAAAGGTGTGTATTATTTGTTGTACATTAAGTATTGAATCAATAGTCACCATCTTATAGTATGTAATAATAATAAATATCATTTCCAGACACCGGACTGCCTGGTGAGAGCGGCGATTCTCAGCAACCGAAACCGTAAGCCTTTATATTTTTCCTAATTAACAAAAATGGCTTTCCTATTATTGAAATATTTAAAGATAAAATATTTTATAACTTTCAGGACGAGTAACGAGAATCAAGATCCATCTCCTAGTCCTTCAAAGAAACAGCCGCAGAAGCCTTCCACAATATCAACATGTTCGTACAATACTGCCATGAACGACAAAACTGGTACATCTGAAGGTGGGTACATTAAACTAATAGACGAAGCTGGACAGGACGCCGGCAAGTTCTTTATAGGACCTTCAGGGTTTCTTAATAACAATGCTTACGAAGTAGTCATACAACTTCGAAAGAAAGATGGAACCATTGAAGAGAAGAAATTAGATAAAGACACATTTTTTGTAAACAAACAGCCTGCAAGCGAAACTATTAGTAGAACCGAAGAAAAGAATATTTCTACTACATCAAACACGACCGCAAAAGATCCGCAGCCGGCTTCTAGTGAAGTCATGCACGATTACTTGGATTATAGAAGTGTAATTGATCAACATTCCACTGCAGTACTCCTTCAACCGTCTGTTTCAAGCAAAACTGCCTCATCTGAAAAGTCTCATGAGCCAAATGATAAGATTGAATCACTCCACCATGAAACAAATACCGAGGCAGATGGAGAAATATTTCTTATACATTCTAGTACAAACAAAAACATGTGCGACAAAGGTGTTCATACACAGCACACAACAACTGATGACACAAAACAAGATGGAATGTCCAGGCCGGCGACAAGCACATACACTCAAACAAGCTTAAGTTCGCCCCTCCATAGACCTGTGTTCTATCACATGAGCTCCTCGACATCCACTGCCTATATGAGTCCCCCAGAATTTATCCTACCGAAGTTTCTTAAACCAGACTGCATAATGACAGACGATGAACCACTGCATACCATTGAACTGACTGCGAAAGAATACTGCGAAGAATATACTGACTGTTCATGCAAGAAATGCATGCAAGCCAGAAACGTAATACTACGCAAAATTCCTGGCCAGCCTACCCATAATATTAAGACGAAATATGTGAACAAACATATGACAACACCTCCTAATTCAACAGTTTCTGAAACAAGGCGCGAAGATGTTGAAATTGTGAAACAGAGGAATATACCTTGTAAAAGTTCAACAACCGACAGGTCAAAATGTTTACATAATACTCGAAGACATGTTGAACCTGTTAAGAAACACTGTCACAGAAATAAAAGGAAAACCTCTGTTGAAAGTGTTCACTCGATCACGACTCGAACCTCGACCGCACGAGCCGGCGTCAACCCGGCTTCAAAAAATAGGCATAAACCTACAGGTGGCAGTAAGGACAAAAAATCTGATAAATCGAACTTGAATCCAATAATTAGAGACTACGTGAATAAATTACTAGCTCTCAATAGAGATGGATTGAAAGCTGTTGAAGTCGCGGATCAAGAATGCAGCTCAGTAGGTACTCCTGGGAGTTCCATAATTAATGTACCTTATAATATTGATAAAAAGAAAGCTTCATTACTGAAAACAATTTCATTAGAACAAATAAAATCGTTACTAAAAAAGCAAATTGAGCAGGAGGAATTAACCAAAAATTTGAAATATATGCAAAATTCGTTGGTGTATTCTGTTGCCAATAACAAAAACAGTATTAAAAGCTTGGCCCGGCCAGTCCGCAAGAAGCCTGTACACAAAGTTAAATCTTTGAATATTTCAAGAAACTTGGCAAAGCGTAAATCAATGGAAGAAAAGTCTAGCAAACCGGTTTTGCAGTCATCCACTGATGGCAACTTAAAAAGCCGAGTGGGTTTTCATTCGCCCAAAAAAGTGCGTAGTAAAAGCTCTCCAACACCTAGACAAGTGAATAATCCGGAGCCAATATCTAGATGTAATGATTCTGAATCGACCGCTAAAAATTCAACTGGAACAGAGAAGTCAGATGATAATTGTAAAAAAAAATCCGTTAATAGCAAATGGGTGCGACCAAGGGGCAAAAAGTTGCCTTCTAATAGAGCAACTTTAACTGATTCGACTGTAGAATCCATTTCGGAATCAACCGTAGACTTTCAACGTTATCCAAATTCCACACACGTTCCTGTGAGTATGTCTACTCAGACCACTAACATGGAATTAAACACTGATAGTAACTTAATGAAATTGGCAGAAGACAAATTGCACAATATGGAGAAAATAGCCGACTTGACTGAGAAATGTACAAAAAGATTATCGGATCTTGCTAGAGTTCTACAGGAGGTGCGAAAGAACAAGTCTTTGGTGTACAACCAAATCTCATCTGCTGAATCGACTGATTCGCAAGCTGACCATAAATCAGAGAAGTCGCCAGTCAGCCCCATCCCTGTTGTTTTTGATTCCAATGATATTGCAAAAGGAATAGACACCCAACTACCTGACCCTGTAGAGGGAAAAGAAAATGCCACAGGAAACAAAGTACCACCACCAGAATATATAGAAGTCTTGTCGGACATACCTAAACCGGTCAAAGCGCAAGAATCGAAACACGTTACACAACATATCGAACCATTCGATCCGGCGTTACAGTTGTCTACTAACACGTCAGAACTGTTGGTTAAGAACAGACCGAAGCCACCCCCAGCTTTATCTCGCCTCAGTTTTAAACATGGACAAGACTACGTCATCCCACATGAACTTTCAACTGTTATAGAAGTAGACTCCCCTATGAGTGTGAAACACAAAAATCATTCAGCTCGAAATAATGATAAAGAAGCGTCTAACAATAATTCAAACAGGTCATCTGCAGGGGACAATATTGCTGTAGACGATCACAAGAAAAATAGATCTAAAAAAGGATCCATCATGAATCCTGACCTGCTTCAAACAAATTCACAGTTATCAAACAAGTATAAAATTAAATTGTCATCTACAGAATCTTCCGATGAATCGAAATTTCAAATGATTGATCTCAAACAATTTAATGAGATAATGTTGGAACCCTTTATAAGTATTCAAGAATATGCAAAGCAATATAACATGGAACCACCAGATGAGGGATCTAATTTAGAGGAAATACAAAGAGAAGATCCTATTAATGACGACATAAGTTCGTTACATTCCGATGGGAGCTTACCTGATGTAATTGCAGAGTTACTGAAACGAAATATCATTGCTGAACCGTTCAAGTTCGACACAGCTTCAAACGTTAACTCGACTACTATTTCCTCAGAATCTACTTTATCCATGTTAGCTTTATCAAAAGCACGCAGAGGCAGCAAAAAGAAGCCTAGTGCTATTTCCCAAAATAAAGAAAATATCGGTGAAACATCCGATACACTAAGTATTTCTTCAAATCCTGATCTAGAAAATGCTTTTAAGAAACTTGGTATGGGCTGGGCATCATCCACTTTGAAGAAGACAAAGGAACGATTAGCTTTATCGTCCTCATCGAATACTTCAAGCTCTAGTTTATCTCAATTTAAAATGAAAAGTTTTAATCAAGAAATACCAGTTCTTGTGACAGATTCGGTTTCATCTGTAGTAAATGTGTCCAAGGGAGTACAGAATATGAGTGCAGTTGATTACTCCAAAAATGCTGAACAACAAACTACATTATCAAATTCAATGACTGTAAAAGAATTTTTGAGGAACGAACTAGCGAAGAAAATAACTTTTACAAACAAATCAAATGTGAATACTACACAAGAATTTGTTTCGTTGTTTGAAACTAAAATGCCTGAGGAGATGAAAGAAAATTCTCAAGTAAATCGCGACGAGCGCTCTATGGAGAGCGCACCCAGCGGAGTGAATAGAGCGCGGACATCTACCCCAGTGCAGTTGTTCAAATCAATGACTTACCACTCGAGCTCCAGCTCTAATGTATCCAATGGTTTATTCAGTAACGTTGATGATTTATCCTCGGTCAAAATGACGTCAAATTCCATGAAAAACCATTCCACATCCGATAAGGATGATTTGACCATTCCTAACTTCAGTCTGAGATTGAAAAAGAGTTCAGACTGTAGTAAAAGTGATTAAAAAATTTTATTTGTATTATATTTATTTATCGAAAAATAAAATGAAAAGGTATTTATGTATAATGTAATGATGCTATTTGGATTATGTATATTATTTTAATAAATCAAATAAGTCAATTTTAAAATATTTTTATTTTTCATGCGAAGCATGGTACGTAATAATATACCACAACATTTTCTAATGTTTACACAATAACATTTTTCAAAAATATTTTACAGATCTTTTTGCAATCAGATTAATAGAATTACAAGTAGAGATTCAATTGAATACCTTTGGTATGTTATTGGAGAATATCTTAAACTGTTTGTACACAATTATTGTTACAATAAATTAACTTATTATAAGTACATGTTGCTATCCTCAGTTAGTTGCAGTTCTGAACATTTTTGGATCACTGACAGCAATTTTTTTGTCAGAGATCCAAGAAATTACAAATTTGAATGATGTTATCCTATGTAATAACTTAACCAATAAATAACATTATTACATTCAATTAATACCTGCTAAATGATCACAGAAAATAATTAGTTCCTAAACTATACTAATTAGGGAAACTGATGCAAATAAAGTTAATATAATACCTAATTGAGACAATCAAAATTGATAGTAAATGAGACTCGGAATTAAAAAGAACATGCTGCAACTTCTATGTATTAATTATGGTGTTGAAGTTTCCCTTTATAATTGAGCTAAATTGAAATTATTCTTTTTTCTTATCATCCTTTAGTATATGTTCTTTTACTAGTGTGTATGCCAGTCCTATTGTTAGCGCTGATACAACAGTGCCCTGTGCTGCCACTCGGAGCTGCATTAGGAACACACTGGTGCTCATCTTGCCCCTAGTCTTGTACTTGTATGCTCCAAAACCACACACACCCAGCAACCCAATGATACCTGAAAGTCAAAAGGAATCTTTGTCAATATTATGTAGTGTTGACATTTGTTTATTATTACTAATTTTATGTTAACTGTGGCATAGAGTGAGGTTTACATTTTTGTCAGTAACACATCTAAAGTTCTTACCTATGATCATAAATGGGGAGTCTTTAGACTTCCTTGCAAGCCTATCTGCTTGAGATTCATCTCTGTAGTCAAATATTTGCCGTGGATTAGACATTGTGCATCTGTAATAAATAACAATTAATTTGTAGCTAACAAGACATTTATAGCTAGCCAGAGGGTTGTTACAGGGTGAATGTTAGAATAATTATATGAGTGACAAAATACAGCATTTGAGTAATTCAAAATAATAAAACCAGGTAGAATTACGCGTTGCAACTGTGATGGAGGTAATGTATTAATTTTATTATTATTCACTCACAAATTATATAACAAACATTTTTTTAATACAATATTGCATCACTAAAACACATGGACACTTACACACTGTGTGACAGCTACTGATACAACTATTGAGAAACGTTTCGGTTTTTCGCTCTCTTGGGCGTTTAAATTGTTTCTATCTCCGCTATTTTTCATGAATGGACAAGGATAAAAGATCAATGTCAGTGACGTAGACTGCCTGAAAAATTTCCAACTTCTTGAGCAGGTAACCGACAAATCCACTGTGAAGGTCACTGCTGTCAATCTTCTGAAAACTGCATCATTACGTCACTTGACATTGACATTAGAACAATGGAGGTGCCAGTTTAGAAACTACTTACCTAGATAATAATAAAATGTAGATGTTCGGAAATTACTTTTACACGTTGTAAACCTGTTTTCCTTTCTGCATATCAGAATGTTGAAGAAGCAGCCAAAAATTATACATTATACCTAATTGTATATAAACTCATAATTAATTTAGTCATATGAATGAAAGGGAAAATGGGCACGTGACCTATCTAAAAATATTTATTGTACGGTGTCACAATTTTATTTATAAAACCACGTGCTGGTGTAAAATGTACATTCTGTGGCCTCTTAACAAGGTGATGGAAAATCATGTGAACATTTACGTTGCACGTGGTGTACGTACGTACGTACGTACCCATTTAAGAATTTGTTGCAACATGGTCATGTGCATTTAGTTCGCTAGCTAAGTACATCCTGAAAATTTTTAATGTCGTATGACATCTTTGCATTTATTTTCATTTCCTATATAGTATAAAATACGGTTATAGTTGAATAGTAATTATCAATATAATTAAGGTACATTATTATGATTAAGAATTGAAAAGAAACATAAACTTAAAAAAAAAAATATTTATTTTTGGTCCCAAATCAAAGGCAAGATACTTATAAAAACATTAAAGTAATAAATAAAATTAATAAACGAACTACTTATTTTACAACCTTGTCTTAAATAATAGTTAATAAAATGTGTAAACTGTTAACTGCACCTCAGTCGTAACATTCCAAGTTGTTTCATGAAAAAGTAAAAAAAATCTATAAAATTAAAAATGATCGTGATTTTCAGTAAATGTTGGCACTGAAGTGCAATTATGTACATACATTCTGTGAAATATTTAGAAAGTATCGCGTTGCATAAAGATTCTTATCTGGAATCAATTAAGCATGGATGATGGAATATAAAGTTAATAAGGAGTAAGTATCTATAAAGGTTATCCGACTGATAAATCTTCGTCGAAATGTATTAGATAGATGTCGCTACTGTAATAAGAGTACTGTACTGTAGTTACTGACCAAAATGTAAATTTGTTTATTTTCCCACTTACTACAATAGCGCATTCTATTTAAGACATTTTAAAGGCACTTCATAGTTCATAAAATAATATGTATACAGAAAGAGTACCTACTCTAAATACCTACTCCATTCCATGCAATTGTATAAGTTTTCAAACTTGTTCCTTTTACAATGATAAAATAGTTTCTATAAAAAATTGATATCTAATGATCATTATCAAATCAAACACTCAAACGAAATATTACATAATTAAATTATAAAATTGTCTTATTTGGTTAAAGCATACTGACTCGTACTACCGTATTTCTTGTGATTTCAATTCATCAGCCCTCACTAAACAAGCATAAACATAATTTTCTTAATAAGTAAGTACAAGCAATCAAATCGCAATTACACATATCTCAATGCCCGCCAATAACTTTTCATTGCAATCGTTCGATATTATCGTTTTCTATCTACGACTAAAATGTAATGCAAATGCGTTCGAGACAGAATGAGTATTATACTTAAATTGTTAGGAGTAGAATCTTCGAACTTCAGCCAGTATTGACTCGTAAGAAGATTCATCAATGATGACAAATCGCTTTGCCCTTCTGCTGAAGTAGTAAATATCACCAGTGTAGATATCAAACCACAATGCGTGAATGTGTAGGTCGTGTTTCTCCAAACGTTTCTTCAACATTCCATATGAGGCAACGTTTTGTAACTGTTGTAGTGTATTCACCTGGAAAATGGACAAAAATGCTAGGTACTTGAATATGATCCTAGATACTATTCGTATAAAAGTAGTTTCACGTTGTGATGTGGTATAGATAATATCATTACTAAGGTAATTACAAGCTTCTGCCAGTGGCTTCGCCCGCGTTCCCGTGGAATGAAAAGTAGCCTATGTGTTAATCCAGACCATATTCTACTTCTGTTCCAAATTTTATCCCGATCCCTTCAGCCGTTTTGACGTGAAAGAGTAACAAACAAACAAACACACACACATAAATACATACATACATCCTCACAAACTTTCGCATTTATAATGTTAGTAGAATAGGATAGGAAGTAGGAAGTTGGATTTTATAGAAATAAATTGAAAATGTTCAATTGTTACCTGTGATAATTTGTCTTCTATGCAAAATTTGTTATCTGGGTCTATGTAGGCGACAAACTTCCGTTGCGGTGTTTCACCCGTAAAAAGCATCGGCTTTGTAAAATCATTATTCATTTCTATAAATTTTGTGAGACTTGTGTGTGCATGCGAACATAGCCACGATTTTAGGGGAGACAGTCTTCTTTGTTCCTAAAAAAATATTGCATTGTAATTATAAATGTTTGGTGCTGTTACATCTTTTGATTAATTACGGATCCTTCGTGAATATGTAATGATACTTACTATACTTGATTCTTCTTTACTCTTAAGTTTATAAAGAAGATTCATCGCTTTACAATCGCTATGTCCACATACAATAATGTGTCTTATGTCGTTTAGTATACAGCCCAGCTCCAAAGCAGCTGGCTCACAGCTGGTCATTTCGTCCACAAAGTACTGTGAGTGAGGTACTACATTACCAGCGTTTCGCACTGAAATTAATAATTATTTTCATTAACTCGTCGAGTACCGGTTTTATAGACACAATTAAAGAACAATAGGTCGCGGTCACCGGTGACCGCTTGTTGTTTGACAGTTTAAACAAGGTTCTTATTGAAATGAGAAGGAATCAAAATTTGAAACAATTTCTATTGCATCAAATCGGGAACGGTCTTATTGGCGAGCGGTTGCAAATTGCAAGGATCTTAAGTAGGTACAATTTCCTGGTCGGCCAAATGTTATTGTTTTTTTCAAAAGTATTTCGATTTGTCAAAAGTTTCTCAGTAATAGGTATACATAGGGCAATAGGCTAACTTCATAGGGGACTCATAAACTAGTGAAAAGTGGGTATACATTATAAGGCAAAGCATATGGCATTACGTGCCATATCATACACAACTGCCCACCCTTTCGGGGACAAAAAGTTTATTTCTAGGTTGGTACCCTACAAAAAAAAAAAATATTTCACCTACCTACAAACATATCACCAACGCTTGTCTCAGTGAATCTGGTTGGAATCATTCTGCTGTCCATGCATGTGTAAAATACCGCTTTAGGCTGCACAACAAAATATAAAAAGTGTTGTAATAAATTAAGTGTTTATCTATCTAATCACTAGTTGAATTTAGTGGATTTAAAATATTACGATAAAAAATATTTTTGTGTACCCTCAGGTTTGTCTTATTAAAATGATTATTTTGATCGTTACATTAAAAAGGGTATTCGGGGAAACGTCATTGTCAAAATGTATCGCTAATCTGTCAACTTGTCAAGCCTGTCAGTTAAACGTCAAAATAAATATAATTTTGGCTATTTTTGTTGAATAAATCGTAATTAATTCAAAGCTTATAAATAAACTGAAAAGATACAAATATCTACTAATTGATATCAGCGTAATTGTTGCACTGTACACATCATTGGCTTTTTATTCTCGTATTTGCATTTCTGAAAAAAAGGTCAGTAGAATATAAACTTACCGTAGGATTGTTTTTTACTTCTTGAAATTGTTTTACCATACTTGCGCGATCCAACACACGGTACCTCATTATTCCTCTCAATATTTTTTCCATGATTACGGAATGTAGACACTCACATCAGCTTTTCACTGCTACAAAATGGTACAAATTATTAGAAGTAAGTTTGCATGTGGTAAACTAAGACTGACATTTGTGACCTTCATTAGCGAAGCTTATCGTGTCCGCAGCGGACTTGTTTCACAGAGGTAATACTAAATTATTGTAGGTCAATGTACACACGACGTTGGGTACGTTATTGGCAGCAAGCTTTACGTTGCGCACTATTTCTTTATCAAAATACATTAGATATTATCTAGCTAGCTTACACGTGCGCAAAACGTATTCACTAACTTCTTGTTTTTGGAAGTATTTGACCCAATTATACTGTTTTTTTGTATCTTCTTTTATAGTTACAGTTCAAGACTGTTCATTTTTGAAGTTAGCAATGCCATTATAATTTATTCTCCTTATTATCTTTGTTTATTTTAGATGACGACGGAAAAAGTTATTGGTGATGTAGCAGAGACAAATGATGGTGTCCCTCCAGTGTTACCACATAACCATAGGTTCTTAGAACCTGAAAAAGCTGTGAAAACTCTCACAGATATGGCCATATGGGAGAAATCTGAAGCATACATGGAATACACTGGGTTTATAGCTACATTGAATGACGCCATTAAGTCCAAGCCACTCACAGTAGACTGCAAGATCTCAGACAATGTTAAAAGACTTATTAAAATGCTTGAAATAATTGACAACCTGATAGATGAATTCCCTCCAATTGAACAACCACAAAGGTTTGGTAATGCTGCATTTAGGTCCTGGCTCTCCAAACTGAAGCTGAACAGCACTCTGTATCTGCAAGATGCCCTGGATCCCTCAATACACCTTGCTATACCTGAGGTTAAAATTTACTTGGAGGAGAGCTTTGGTAATGCTACTAGGATTGATTATGGAACTGGCCATGAAATGGCTTTTGCAATGTTCCTCTGTTGTTTGTTCAAAGTAGGAAATTTGGTGGCAGAGGACAATGTAGCAGTAGTTTTCTTAGTCTTTAATAAATATCTATCTATTGCAAGAAAGTTGCAGAAAATATACAGAATGGAACCAGCTGGCAGCCATGGAGTGTGGAGCCTGGATGATTACCAGTTTATTCCCTTCATTTGGGGCAGCTCCCAACTCATTGATCAGCCGAGAATTTATCCACCGGCCAAGTTCTTGGAAGATGATATTATTGATAAATATCACAATGATTATATGTTTATATCTTGCATTAAACATATCAAAGAGGTGAAAAAAGGTCCCTTTGCAGAGCATTCTAATCAGTTGTGGAGCATCAGTGCAGTTGGTTCATGGAGCAAAATCAATCAAGGTCTCATTAAGATGTACAAAAAGGAGGTGTTAGCCAAATTCCCAGTCATTCAACATGTGATGTTTGGCTCTCTGCTTCCCATCAGGAGATTCTCTCTAAACCACTAAGTGGTGAGAAGATAATCATTGTGAGACACTAATCATGGCCAATGTAGCAGGCAACAGCTGGTGGTGAGAGATGGATATTGAGATTGACCAGAGGAAAGAGTGGAGGATGAAAAAGAAGTAACTTATTTCAGTAATTATTGTGTTCCTCAATTTCTGTATCCAATGATATTAAGATTAACCTAAATATTTACTGCCTTATGACTATTGTCTTATTTATGAATGAATATTGTATATTTTGAACAAAATTCAGTATTATGAGTTGTGCAATTTGTAACGAGTCTCTGTCACTAAAATAATTACCTTATAATTGTATTTGTTGTAATGTAGTATGAGATAGTAATTGGTGGCCAAATGGGCGGGTGAACACACGCCAGATAAGGTCGGCGCGGCGGATTGACGTCACGCGTCTTATCAGATAATGAATTGGTATTTGGTTGTCTTCCTTATTTCATGTTGTTATCTGTATTCTCATTTAAGTAGTATTAGTTTCAGTACCAAAATCTGTTTTTGTATACCTAATCTGTGTTTTAGGTGAATGAGAACAGTAGTACTTATCTACTTACTCATGTATCTCTGTAGGTAACAGTTTTGTGTGAATGTTATATAATAGTTCCAACAGTCGTACATTATGTACTAGTGTGTACTTTGCCCCTCCAGCGTTATTTTAATTATCATTTACGTACGTTTACTACGCTATTGTTTCCGATAAAATACTTAAATTTGCTATTTTGTGATATATTTTAATTGGTAAGAATCTGTCGTTAATTTTTAGCATTTAACCACAATGTCTTGTCACTTGTTACTAATAAATATCTTCTAATAAATACCGATTTTGTTTATCTGATATGTAATCGAGAATCAGTTTTCATTGTTCAGTAGCAGTACTATCTTATAAGATTAGGACAGGGTGACTAGGATTTAAAACAGACAGAGTTGTGGAATTCTACAGCTGTTATTTAATTTATTTTTTAAACAATATTAACATTAAAGTTATCAAGTATATTCACATAAATTAACACAGCCATACACTTTACAACACAAAAATAAACATCTCTAAATAGTTTCATAGGATAGTATTCAGTTGGTAATTATTCTGCAAATAATTTTATAATACAAAATATGACTTTATGTAATATAAAACTAAATTTTGAATCTTGTATGTTTTCGCAACATAATAATAATTACAAGTTATTCTGTCGCCATATTAAATACCTTCGTGTATCGAATTTCGATGATAGTACATACCGAAATTGATAGATATCTCTGTATAAATAGATAAGGTATCGTATCGCCTACCTGATCGTTAGGGCGATAGAACTATCATTTACAGACCATATACAATATCTGCATGTTGGAATATAATGAAAGATACAAGTCATCATCGCTACGATTTTATAGGTACAATACGATTACTGTTATGTTACCTAACCAAGTAATTGTAGCTCAAAATATTAATTAATACTTAAAAATTAAAATACAGTAGCTTTTATGTAGGTAATCATCAACATCGAGTTAGGGAAATAATAAAATAATGTCACTTGCTCTGCGCATCAGTGCAATGTGCATCAATCAAATATTCATTTTACCAGTCGGCTGCAAGACAGCCCACACCACACATTGCACAAAATAGCTCTGGTTTTACCCATAAGTGACTTAAAATTACCTACATGGCTAAAATTAAATAGATTCCTACAAGTATACACGTTACAGACAGTATTTAGTGCTCGTTGGATTTCGGTAATATTGCGAGATCTTCCTTGGGTTTGTGGTTGAAGTGGTTGTTGTACAGCGTGTAGACCATGCCGGCACAGAGTGCGCCGACGGCTGTGCCTTGGGCGATCACACGGAACTGCATTAGGAAGACGCTGGTGCTCATCTTGCCGCGGTTTTTGTATGCCCACGCGCCGTAGCCCACGGCTCCCGCGCAACCCGCGATAGCTGTGGGAGAAAAAGCACGAGATTTAGCGATCAGCCTACATGAACAATAATAATATTTGTTATGTGTCTTTTAAATTCTATACTGTTGTTTAGTCGTTTCATTTGTTTTTGAACTTGGTTGTTAGCTTTCTGAATAACAATTTTAGTAGGTACCCACCATGGTGGCACCTAGGTGGCAATGACATGCCTATTTCGTACGGATTTCGAGAGAAATTCTTTGGGAAATCTTTGTCTTTTTTACACATATTGTGCGTAGCTAGAACTAAGACATAGTTAATTATAAGTTGTTAGTCACTCCGTATCTAGACCGTAAAGCAAGTTTGTACTAGGTAGGTACTTAGGTATATCTGTTAATCTGTAGATCAAACAAATATTTATTATGGTATTAAATCGAAATAATTATAACAACGTAGCACAGAGCAATAAATCGCTCAGTGTTCAACATACGGTCTCTAATTTTTGCTGGCATCGACACCTGTCTGTAGAATTTATAGATTTCATTTTCACGGTAAATATCCACCCAGTAGTAACATAGTTTTTATTTGTCTAGGGCGTAACTGATTACTTAGTTATCTATTCAATTCAATTAAGTAAATGGACCACCGCTTAGGTAGGTACGTACCTACTTCCAATTCTAACTATGTCTGATTTATTGAATCGATCTGTATGACGTCATTCACTGAATTATGTCAACATAGTTATTGCGTCTGCACGTAGTGTTGCGTTGCTTACACTATAACTTTATGTTCGTAGTGCATTCCAGAAAACGTCAAAACTTAGGAAATATCTATCTTCCTATCGATGGGTTTAGATATATCGTAGTATAAGTTTAAAATTATCGGAAATATCAACGGACAGATTAAAAGGCAAGTTCCTGCGGAGCAGACATTGGGTTGCTTTATTCTTTTTAATTCCGATTAGGTACCCTAGATATATTGGTCACTAGGTTATCCTTTTTTTTTAAGGGGGGAAAATCATCGAATTACTGCTTCCGCCTGGGTGAGGCGGAAGGGAGTGTCAGACTCTTACTGACTAAAAACCACCTCGTTCCTTCTCCTGCACGTCGAGCCGGAGCCCCGGTTACCCGTTAGGTTCTCCGCGACACTAGGTTATCCTTGCCTGAACTACAAGCTTGGCTTAAGCTATAGCTAGCTAATTACCTTTAATCTATGCTAAAACTAAGTAAGCAGTTACCTTTAATATATGTTCGAGAAGTACACGCAATTTAATTTCCGATATCCGTAATAATTCTGATGTATACTTACGTTGCATTATCAGTAGCTATCAAGCGAATGAACAGGAAAATCCGGTGTATATTGTTACTGTAGGTGTCTAGTATAGCTATCTAGTCTAGTTTCAATATGCATAATATTTTTGTGACTTAGGTTTATTTACTCATTTAGTCATTACATTAGGTTGTTATTCATTTATGGCAGAATTTTATTGGTCGTAGAAAGTTGTTAAACGCCATGACCGATGTTAGCAGAGAACTTGCGTCCAACCACCTCCACCAGTTTTCTATTGGCAGTCAACATCATATTTTGGAGTGCACGTTAGTGTCCCCGGTCGTAATTCCCAAGAAACATGAATATATGGTTGTATCATAATCTTTTGAGAAGAAATAAGAAAAAAGTAGGTACAAACAGTCACCTACCTACACATGCACTCTATTATTTCACTAGAGAGTACCTAATATAATATACATAAATGAAATACACACCTAAAACCATAAAAGGAGATTCCTTGGACTTTCGCACCAGTTTCTCGCTCTGGCTTTCCTCATGGTAGTCGAATACTGGTTTTTCCTGCGCCATTTCTGCTACTGAAATGAGGAAAATAGTCTTATTAGTTTCGTCATGTGTCTCCTTCGATGTGTTGTGACCGAGTCGAATGGCTGACTACTTTATACGTCACGTAGTTACTGCCTCTGTTATTGATGTTTGTTTTATTGTAGGCACTTACTGCCTCTAGGTAGGTAATGAGATATAAATTAGGGTGTGTCGAGTGGGAGATTTTCACGAAAATGCGGAATCCGAACCCGCGACCGGTAGCGTGACAGCTGGACGCACAAAGCCACTTACATTGAGCGATAACAATAATAATTAAAGTGGGACTCTCATTTTAATCCTTGGTGTACAGCACAGTACGTCACAGTTGCTTGATATCTAGATAATGATGAAATCCACAGGTCTATGTAATTAAACTGCATAGTTCCTCGAATAACACGTTAGCTGTAGTCTTATATAAGCTAAAGCTGGACTAGCTAACTTATTATGTTCTCATGTGAATTTGTATTCTTGCAATTGCTAATACCAGCTTCTGGGTTTTCTTATTGAAAAAAAAAATTAAATTAATTATGACTTGAATAGAAAGTTGATGATGATTATGACTTGATTAGAAAATGTTGATGTTGTTGTTGTTGATGTTGTTGTTGTTGCGCGTAGTTTGGAGTCCTGAATGTTGACGCATCCACCATAAACAAACAACCATGAATGTACATTTGATTGTCTCACTTCTCTTATTTCTCTTATTTTATTAGATTTTTTTGAAATATGATTATTGATTATTTAATTAATTAATTGATTTTTATTATTATTGTTTTGATTATTTAGTATTATTATTTTAAACTTGACCATGTTCAATTGATTATTTCCGACATTTGATTGTTTTGTCTGATTTTGTATTATTTGACGTATGCCATATTTTTGACATTTTGTATTGTTTTTAGTCACAGTTGTTTTATTCTTAGCTTTTAATTTAATTTATTTTAACTTTTAATTTGTATTGCCAGTTTTATGTATATTTTTATGATTTTTGCATGTTGTGGCCTCCTATAATTGAGGAAGCACATAGCTTTTAATTTTTGTAATGCTACTCGTGTGTGCTAAGTGTATTCCTTGTTGGAGACCCTAATTCAATAAATAAATAAATAAATAAATAAATAAATAAATAAATAAATAAATAAATAAAGCGTGATGTTTCGGAGATAAAAAAAAATGTGCTTCTATCTACTCCTCGGGTGCTTAAGAGGCGTAAGTATACGTAGGTAGGTAGGTAGGTACCTCGTTCCTTACTGGCTACTTAAATATGTTTATTACGTAGGTATATTTTTTATATACCTACGCAGGTGTGACGTAGTATCAATCAAACTTGTTAACTCGTCGAGTACCGGTTTTATAGACACAATTAAAGAACAATAGGTCGCGGTCACCGGTGACCGCTTGGTGTTTGACAGTTTAACAAGTGAATGTTAATAAAACTGCACACAGACGGATGTTAAAATTGCAAAACTGTAACAATCGTACGTATTCAATCTTTATCGGACGTACACCGGCAAAAAGAACATGCGTGTAGGTACCTAAAGTAAATCATTTTGCGATAAGTAGCTGATATAAGGATTCCACTCTATATTTAACAGTGCCTAATCAATAGCTGCAAAGTGATAGCTGGTGTAACTTTTACATGATTATGGAATCCAAAGTATTAATATTAGGTCTGCCCTAATATTATATGATGTTTTGATATTCTTGACTTGATTATCTCTTTCAAAAGTGCCAGTATCCTGCAATTTGTAACAATTTAGCTAACAGCTTTGACTTTGTCCAATTCTTGCGGTCGTTTTAAAACATTTAAAAAAACTTTGATCGACAAGGTTACGCTGCTTCTTCTATTTTTATATGTACATTTTCGAGAAACGTTCATAATTAGATATTAAACACATTCTATGAGGCGTCAGGTTCACGGTCATATGACTACGACTGGCTGCTCTGGCGAGGCAGTGTTTTCATTAAAATATTTGTTTTGAGTTATAGCACTCGGTACTCAGTACCAACTTAGATTTCCTCAACTATACCAACGTGTATTAGTATCTACTGGTTCTGGTTTAACTGTGGAATTTATTATATTATCAGTTATCACGTTTTCCTAAGATTTCATCACATTTTTTGGGTGTTGAACTGTACGATACATATTTCTTATCAAACAATTCAGACACTTCGCTTACGTTCAATTAATTCACACGAGTTGAAATGCAAATAATTCATCTACATTGAAGGAAATAACTAAATATCTACACGACTACACATGCCAGTGCGCACCACTAATAAAATTCAAAACAAAAAATATATTAAAATACTAAAATTTGTAAAAAAATTGCACCACATTCACGTTAAATCACTAAATTGAACCAAACTAACCTTGTTCCAAATCAAGGACACTAAAATTATAACAATGATTACACCACGACACTAACACGTGAAGTCTGCCGAGTGACTGAGAACGGGCAACTCAGTGAGCCAGTCCGATGATATCACTGGCGATTGTCGCTGGGGATTCACATCACGCAGGATACTACATAATAATACACAAGCATCACCTATAATAATCCTATTGTACCGTTAAAAAATACACACACTTTCGATCACGTACCTTTTATTTTAGCTGCGATAAAGTCCGAGTCTCACTGCAGGCAGATAGAGTGTACGGCGATTTTTAGCCTTTAAATTGTGGATTGTTAACTCCGTGTGAAGATTACGTGCGCAGCGCCATAAGACGTGTGCTTTTTGCACTCGGTATCTGTTATTTCACGTTTATTTTAAGTTAATATACTTATACCCATTTATAACAAGAATGGAAATTTTGTTTAAGTTCATTCGTGATAAACTTTAGTAGTTTTACCAGTGGGAACTAGTTGTCGCTGTGTGCTAGCCAGCTTTGCATTGATGATCTTGGGCTTGTTTTCTTTACGACAATTTTAATTAAAGTTTCCATAGATACCTATTCGTTGTTTTAGTTTAAAACGGAGTACGTGTTCTAAAGAGCTTATGGAAGATTTAACAGTTGAAGGTCGCGGCAATACAACTAACACAGTTTTAGTTCGACCGAGACCTTGAGACGATAGAAATTGAGCAGCTGGTTGCGTCATAATATTATCATCAAATGTTATTTTGGTTTTACTATCGAAGTATTTTATAAAGCTGTAACAGATTCAACCATTCCAATTTTTGATGACAGAACTCCGGATGAATGTGTTTTCAGTAGGGTAGGGAAGACGCGACTTCTATATTTCGGGGCTCCAGCTCGAAGCAAGAGTTGAAACAGGGTGGTTTTTAGTGAGTAAGAGTCAAGAGTATGACACTCCCTCTCTGGTTTACCCCCCAAAGGGTGATTTTAAGTATCTCTTATGAGTTTGTAAGTTCACGGGGACACAGGACGACACTGGGCTCAATGATGAATTACCATATGAAGTCCAAAAATTTGGTACAAACGTTGTTAACGCTGGTTTTCTATGAGGCTATGATATCACGCCGCGCCGGTTGAAGCTTAGCTTTACCACGTGAAAGACCTACACCTACATGCCTTGCCTTAGTAAGTTATATTACGTATGACCTTAACCTGCGTATGTTATTTTACCTATTAAATGTGCACTATGTCATTTAAGTAGATAACTAATGGAATGTTATCACGTGCATCATTACTGTCGTGAATCATTAATGTTTATTAGTCTAACAATCAAACATAAATAAGACAAAACGGTCGAATCTTGAACGTCAATCAGTCCCAATTTGACCATTGTTTCATGATGTCACGTTGTAGTCATTATTATGTGCCACTAGCTTCTGCAAGTGACTTCGACCGCTTTAGGTATCTCGATAAAAGCAGTGCCGGCGTTAGTGGGGGGCGTGATGAGGCGATAGCCCAGGGCAACAAATTCTGGAGGGCGCCAAGGTCTGAAGTTGGAGTCTCTTGCATATGCATATTTTTATTTAAGAAAGTTGATCAAAAATTAACAAAACGTTGAATCTAAATGAAAAGTTAAAAAAATGTGCGAGAAATTTAAATTTGAAAAAATATATACATATATAAAAGAGGTGCTACAAAACTTTCTACGTCCGCGTCGCGTCGTTAGCTCTGGTTTTTTTTTAAGGGGGAAAATCAGCTCTGGGTAACGCTAAAGGAAAGATGAAATTCATAATATAATTTTATTTGGGAGCAGCAAAAAACTAAAACTTGCTTCCCTCAAGTGGGCGCCACAATATTTTCGCCCGGGGTGTCAGTGGCCCTTACGCCGGCACTCATAAAAGTAAGCATCTACTTGTATTGTGTAGGGAGGAAGCTACCACTCATTAATGATGGGTATGATGACATAAAAATGCTCAATCAATTTGTACACACGGCTACATATCGAGCTTTACATAACCAGTATAAACTGAACGTTAAATGTGCGGAAAGATGATGCGACGCGACACCAGGATAAACTGGCTTTTTATAGATTGATGTGTGGCCGTGTGTACACAGTTAAAGACTGTTACTATTCGTTATGCAATACGCAGTGTTGTTGGTGATATTGGGTCAATTAAATACAATGAATCAATTTCTTAATACACTAACGAGGTTGTGACTTTGTACGCGTACTAAGTCCCGTTATTGAAGAAGGATTGCATAACAACACGCCATTTATGCAGTCGACTGTTTGTCGTTTGTCTATATTATTATAGGTACTTTATCCGATTTCTTGTTCCCCAAGTTCTCTTGCTCGGCAGTCGCAAATGCACCAACTTCACTAGAATTAGGTAATTCGGTCTTTGAGATTAATTTAAGTAGGTTTGAGGTATAGCCAATATAATAAAACACAGTAAATAAATATAAAAATATTTTAATAGGCTTGTGGTATAAATAGCAACATATTAGTCGCTAGTTATTACAATATTGTGCAACATAAATATATCGGATACATAGAGCTTAATCTTAGGCTGACTGTATGCAATAAATAGTAACTTAAAATCTGAATAAACTAAACTAGACTGCGACTCAGTCCGCCGGTAAAAACAACGATGTAACAGACAATAATTATTTATTTAGATCACAATTTCAGTTAATAATTGCGTGTAAATTACATACATATTACTCCATATTTATTGAAAATATAAATAAAAATGTCAAAGACCTTTTGACTGTTGGGTCAGTGTCCAACGAAAAATATAATTTACGACTTAAAATATTGGTTTAAATTTGTTTGCGTCACCATCGTGGCAGAACTGGCAAATAAAAGGTTATACTATAAATGGTACAATTTTTTATATTTAATGGGCCGACGTTTGACCACTGTATCTCTCAGTTTGTTGGATGTGAAGTGTATTCTTCAACAAGTCATGTATTCATATAAAATCCCTTGAAAACTAAACATGAGATCTAACACACTATGATTATCTGAAATTGTAATCTACACAAAATCACAGACACATAACCTAAACTTATAAATATTTGATAAAACAGCAATATTAATTTAATAGAATAATTATAATAGGTACAAAGTAACCACAGTCATGGTATAAGTTAACCTGACTTGGGTCCAATCACTTAGTGCAAGAACCCATCGATATTATTTTATTGAGAGGCTTTAAGCAAATACACTAAGGGAACAAATAAATGTCCTGCGACACGTGTCCCGTTGGGGGAGGTAGCACGATATTGCCGGACTTCGCTCGATCGATATGTATGGCAACATAGCGCGACACAGGTCCTCGCGCGTTGTCGCCATATATGTCATGCGCCTGCCACACACTCGACGAGTGTTATAGGAAGTAACGAGGAAAGGAGGCACAGATATAGTGTGGCAACATTACTCGTCATGCTTCTCGCCCTGCTCACTGCTATGTTGTCGGTTTTTGCACGCTTGTCAAAGGACCGGCAATACGAGGCGGCAACGAGGACCGGCAATAGGAGCGTGGCGATTAATCGCGCGAGTGAAGCAGTGTGTGGGGAGAGAGGGCAACGGCAAATCACTGTAGCGCGAGGAGCAGCGCAGGGAGCATAGTCTGGCAGGCGCATCAGGCAAAGTCTGCCGACTTCGTTTGACATGTCGCCGATGTATCGGCGGTATCGTGGGACATTTGTCCTCTAGTGTATCCTTGGCTTTAGAGTTTAGAGGGTTAAATGTAGAACCAACTTTGTTTCTTTTTAACTAATTTTCTCCAAAACAAATTGAAGTCAAATAACGAAATTATTATCATAGTAAAGTTTTATAATGACACCATTTTTATTCTATAGCAAAAATTGGTTAACAAAAATACTTCTGAGTTCATAATTTTGATCCTAAGTGTAATTTATTTCTTTCCAGAAGGTTTGTGTGTACAAAGAGTTTGATAATGGATATTTAGGGAGCGATGGAGTCATTAAGAGTTCGTTCTTGTTCTCTACGTTCTTGTGATCACTAGATGGCGTTAATAAAGAATTAGGTTATGATGGCCCAATAACATGTCGATTTGAATGTAAAGATCAATAAATGGACATAAGCAAGTAGTCTATTGGACAAGATTTTTGAAGCAAACTCAGGTAGCTCTTATTAAAAATTTTGTATGCGACTGCATCAACATATTTGTGATGGGAGCAGTAAAAACAGTTAAAAACACGTAACACAAACAGACCCGTTTTGGATAACATACAAATTCGTCGTCTACACATTCTTATTATTTAGATTTTTTTTACCTAGAATTATAATTAAATGTATGATTAAATTATGAAAACTATATGAAACGCAGTTATCACCTAATTTTGTCAGCCATATTGAGTTGCGCTAACGTTTGCGCTAAGAAGGAAAGTATCTATAGACATAAGCACATAAAGCTACTCTAACTTGTCTCTACAATAAAATTTCAACTCAATATTGTATGTATTAAAGTCTAAAATTGAATATTAAGACAAGTTTTAGATAGCTTGACGTCTTTGCGCAAAATAGCGCAAACAAAATATTCGACTTAAGTAAAAAAATGAAGCAATAACTGTAGATGTATATTGTCGTATTAAGATCACAATCAATGACGAATACAAGCCAATGAAGGAACTATGTATTGTCTCCGTCCATTTGTTATTATCGACTGCAAACATCTCGATATTTAATTTACTAAAACGATTCGAGATATTTTGTCGTGTGGACGTTCAGGCAATCAGAGAAAAGGGTTCAAAGTAATTTAATTTCTATCCTGTGTATAGTTACAATTAATATAACTTGCCTACCCTCTTTGCAGATTAACAGGCATACCTTGTAAGGTGTATCAACTGGAATCTAGAGTCAACATTAATTTTAGCATACGTTTATATATTCTTGCTAGTGATAAAGTAACAATTACAAAGCACTATTAGTTTAATGTAACTGTTCCGTATATCTACAAGTTTGATATTATTAACTTGTAAGGCACTGAACATTTAAAGCCTTCACAGGTTTCTATAAAGCGACTGTTTTGTCAAGAAAAAGTTAAGATATCATTTCGTACGAGTATTTGATAACTAAAAGGTAGTCATGACTTCTAATAAAATCTATTAATTACTTTTAATCGGTCCTGAACATAACAGTTTAATTCCGTCGCAAGAACTTTTCGAGCGCAGCTATTGATTAATATAAAGAATACTAACAATTATTTATTTATTTATTTTATTTCATAACGTCGAATAATTGTGCCTACAAATAACCCGTTTCACTACTTGTTAGTGAATTATCCGATTCTTATTAACCATGGTATGGAGCATAGATCTACGCAAGACATAATGTGTTTTCTATTGTGCTTATGTACCGGCATACAAAAAGTTAATCGGTACGCACTTGCGCAACGATATGTTACATTTTGCGCAAACGTCTAACTTCAGTGCGCAAACATACATAATATAATGTACAAAATATATAAGGATAGGGAGCTGGGTATGTCCCATAACTATGACCAGTCACCGACAGACGGCCAGCAGTATTATCAATATATTCAGTGACGTAACTGCAACATCCAACCAGCCAAACTTAGGGATTAATTATAAGAAAACGGCGGATAATAATAATAACAATGATAATAAGAATCGGATAATTCAAACAAACTATAACACATACCTGTTTTAGCTACACAAACGTGTGACGTCATAGCTTCTCGCGTCCACACGCATAACAAACGGACTATCACTGACTTGCTTTGGCAAGACAACGGTGCTTTGCACTCCTAGTACATAGAAATTTTACTACACAGTTTATTAATCGCACTGTCTCATTGGTACTGGCTGGGGGCACTTGATGACACTTTCTCTAGTTTCTCGAAGTGTTTGCGCGCGTTCCTAATGTTGATGAGGGTCGCTTCCGAAGGTATCTTGGGGTCTGACATCTCCACCATGACGTACGTGTTGCTTGTAAAGCCGTCTATGAACGCTGCGAACACGCTGTTGCGTACCTACAATTGAAAATATACATCGTTTGTATATCGCTTTGCGGTTTTTTGTTGTCGATAAATCTATGCAGAAGTTTTTTTTAACGAGATAGATAATAATTTTTATGTAATTTAAGGCGCTGATCTGATCAATGGAATATTTGGTGTCAAGATTTTTTTTATCTAAATTATTAATATGCCTTATTATATCACAAAATCTGCTGCATATAAAATGTTATTTAATATAAACCTCCATGCTCTGGAACTGAGCAGCCAGCTTGGAGCAGGACAGTTTGAACTGCTTGACAATGTTGGAGACCTTCTCGAACCGGTGCGCGTCGCGGTGCGCGCGCTGCTGGCAGTGGGATACTACTAGGAACGTTGCACGCTCGAATAGTAGCACCTGCAGACAAATACCACTCTTATTAACTAAGCTGTAAGGACTATTATTGGTGTTCGGATAGTCTGAGTACTTGTCTGTGTAATTGTGAAACCATTTGGTATTCTATAAGTATTGGTCTTGAGACGATTTATTCTTATAGTGTAAAGATATTATGGAGTGTACAATTCCGAAATAAATACTTTATTATTTTCAAAGATATTTTGATTTCCTAACTTTCCTTATTTTGATAAGATATTTCGTAAGAGAGTTTAAGAACCTTATACACGGGCCAGAGTCAAGTGTATAAGTTTAGATAGAGTAGGTGGATGATGTTAAGAACTTTTATTATTATGATACATGATCAAACTTCTAATAAACATGACTTTACCTCATCTGCGTCCACGATCTCCGCAAACTGTTTGAGTGACGACTCTAACGCTTTCACGTTGGGTATTAACTTGTAGACTATACTCGACCACGCTCTGAAAACGCCACGATCGTAAATTAGTAATATTATATGCTATACAGACACGGTAAATAAGCAGGATAGTTGTAGTTAAGCTTGCTACACATTGTTTTATATTAAAGGTTACCTACATAAAACTTTTTTGAATTAGATACATATTAACAAAGAGAATTCCTTAATCGCAAACAAAAATCTAAAAATATATAAGTGTGAATCGTGTTAAGTTCTAAATTAAATCTCTGAAATAGAGAACTAATTTTTATACTTAGGTGCAAAGAAATGATGCCACAACATCTTTTTTTCGTTTCTTAATAAATACCTATTTTTTGAGTATTTTATTCATTGGTAACATATGTCATGTGAATGGTTATTTAGTTACCTTTGCAATGAGAGCATTTTGTTGTAAAAGGTTTTACAGGTATAAACATAACTAATTTGGTAAGTAATGGCACCTCACTATATTGTACTATATACCATCAACAGATGTCGCGGAACGCGCCGTCGATCTGTGTCAAACTTTGTGTGTATACACGTCGTGTGCTCTGTCCATAAATGTAATTAAAATAAAGTTAAGTATAACAAATTCGAGTTGTAATAATTAATCCCCAAATATAACAAAAGGCATATATTTTTTTAAGTCATTGAATGTTCGATAAATTGACAAAAAAACAACGCTAGTCGCTCCGTTTCATTGCTCCTATTCCTTAGCGTATTTAGGGACTAACACAGCTAGAGAAATCTGAGACATACATATAGATTAATTAATCACTATGTGTGAAAACATGAATAAGGAATCATGGCCGGCAGTCACAATGATTCATAAACACATTATTCATACATTATTATAATAACACATGCCAAACGCTGTGAGGTAAAATGGTTTAATGGTAGGTATGTATATCGAATACAGTTAGTAACCGATGTGTTCGTCACATCGATCTGAGATTAGAGGTTACGACATTGTATGCATATAGGTACCGTGTTATATTAAATATTTGCATACAAATTGTGTTGCTATGGAAACTTTTCTAAGTTTGTAACTACCTTCTGGTAGTTATTAGGATTCCTTTCAATCCGTTTGATCGTGATAAACTCAAAAATTACTGAACGTACACAAAGGAATCGGCTGTGAACGATATTGTTTCCATGTTACGTCATAAATTATCAGCCCGGGATTAACCTTATGATTTATGAAGCATAAATGCCGTAGTGCCGGCAGTAGTGGACTATGTAGCTAACTCACTTGTATAAAGTTTCATCCCATATACTAGTTCTGAAGCAGGTACACTCCAGAGGCTTCGAGAGCCTCTTCAGGTCCTCCTCCCTCTCCTTGAAGATCTCCTCGCGCTGCTCCTCCGGTACTAAGTCCATTTTGTGCACTAGACAAAATATCCGCGCTTCTGGAGAGTTCTGGGAAAAATTATGATAACTTAATTAAATAAACTTATCAACTTGATTGATTAAGCGTTTTAAATGTGAGAGACCAATACTTTCGCACCAGGGCCACACAGAAAACCGACGTCAAACGCTTGCGTAGTGTTTCGTTGTATGAGTGAGGTTACCGGAAATATATGGACAAAATTGAGTCTGAAATAATATAAACTAGCAAACCTCCCCGGCTTCGCACGAGTGCAATATGTATGTATTATGCATATAAACTTTCCTTAAGAATCACTCTATCTATTTAAAAAAAAACCGCATCAAAATCTATTATAGTTTTTAAAATCTAAGCATACATATGGACAGACAGACGGCGAATAGCGACTATGTTTTATACTAAGTAGTGATGAATTTATTATTATTATTAGCGCATATTCCTTATTATTGGGCAATTAAATTAACACTTACACAAGGAGGTCCGTATACCTCTTCTGTTAATGAAAGGCTTATACTATACGTTATGTATGAATTTACACCATACAATATTCAAAATAAAGTTTGAAATAATTTGGTATTGTATAGGAAAAGTTGTATAACTTAGGGATAAAAGTTAGTTGTTTCTATTTTTAAAATTATTACCTACACATATAAAGCTATTGAATAATATCCTTAAATAGAAAATGATTTGTTAGAATAATATCATCATCTTGACTTTTCACTGGTGGATTAGATGACTCAAATACATTTGGTTTGCTACAATCTTCGTACTTGGGTAGCAGATCATAGCTTCAATCAAAGGTTTAGGTTTATTAGAGTTCTACTGCCTGGTCTCTATTAAATATATAGTCCCATAGTCGGTCTTTCCATCCCCATAGAAAGAGTAGTGACTAACACATTCTATCCCTTTGAAAATCATCCCCTAAATTTGTTCATACAAAAGTAGTCTCTAAACATTGGAAATAAAGTCTATAATGTAGTTAGTGGAGAGGGGTCATCGATGACTGCTTGGGGATATATGGGCTATTATGCTGTTGCTGTCACCATAAAACTTGATAGTTTAATATCATAATAAAATAGTGTATCATAATGTTTCTTACTTAGTCAAGTCAATATTTTATTTAAATAATTATTAATGATTAGTCTGATTGCATTTACAAGTAATTAACAATGCATATTTGTGTGTTTCTCAGAGACAATTGTATGCCATTAGGTATGCAAATATTAGCTGATAAATCTACATTATCAAATCTTTGTAAAATTATAATTAACCATGTCAATATTATAAGGAGTTGAAGACTGAGCTACAGTTCTCATTTTTACATGATAAGATTTTATAATGTAGTTCTCATAAATAGTAATATTTATTGTTTATATATATTATTGCCTCGTTGGCCGAGTGGTCGCAAGTGCGACTGCCGGGCAAGGGGTCTCGGGTTCGATTCCCCGGTCGGGCAAAGTATTACTGGGTTGTTAAAAAATCTCAGTAGTAGCATGGAGTCTGGAAATGTGCCCGGTATATGGCAATAGGCTCACCCCCTATTACATGGGTCTCATAACATAAATAGTGAAAAGTGGGTGTTACATGGTACAGTGGCATTAAGTGCCGTAATGTGCACCTCGGCCTAACCCTTCGGGGATAAAAAGGCGTGATGTTATGTATATATATTTAAATAGAACACATTGGCAACTTTGTCTCATCATCCACTCAAAAGCAGAATTGATCTACATCTTGGAGGAACTAGAAGTGTTTATCAATATATCACAACATAATGACATTGTAATAAATTATCAAAAAAATTAAAGCCTTGAAAAATAATATGATAATCACGATTTTTGTACTATATTTTTAGTATTTGTAGATAACAGAACAAAGTTATAGCTATAACTATAATTATTAAAAATGAATAATTCTTTTATAAAGTTAGTTTACAAAAACCGACTTCAACACCCCCTTTTTTAAAGTCGGTTAATTAATATACTAAAACTTTCTCTAAAGTCTAACAAACACTTTTCTGAAAACCGCATTATAATCGGCTCAGGCAATCGTGAGATAATCGCGCACATACATACAAACATATAGGACAAACTGAGAACCTGTTTCTTTTTTGAAGTTGTTTAAAAACCAACTTAAAAAAAGTATATAGCAAAAATGTAACTATTATTTATAATTGGATTATGTACTGTCAGTGAATGGGTGCTGCTAATAGCTTGAAACTTGGTGTCCTATGTCCTAAACATATAAGATGTGTAAAATGAGTGTTTGAAATGGACTTTTTAGATATAAAAAGTCCGCCGTTAACTAGCTCTTACCTTTTGAGAATTAACCTGTTGAAATTCATCCCCTAAATTTGTTCATACAAAAGTAGTCACTAAGCATTGGAAATAAGGTCTATAATGTAGTTAGTGGAGAGTGGTCACCGGTAACCGCTTGGGGATCTATGGGTTACATAAAGAGAGCTTTTATTAATTACCTGTAAAATAGCTTCCAAACAGGACTGATAGTAATGCATGTCTTTCTCCATTTCTCTGCTTTCCACGTCAAATACATAAATCAGTACTTCAACATTCCTGAAGATGTTATCTCTTTGTGAGGCAAAGTAGTTTTCCATGAACGCTTCCTGACCTCCACAGTCCCACAGGTTGAGCACCAAGTTGCCGAGGAATCGAACGTGTGAGTGTTCTACGTCAACTGGAATAATATCATTTTTATGATAAATTGTGACAGTAGGGAAAGGTAATATCTGTTTTTAGTCCATAGGGGTATAATAGAGGTATTTGCATTAAATGAATAATGTAAAATCTTGATAGTAATTCTCTACAGACTAAGTATAAGTATACATATAAGGCATCCAAATCAGTTTAAAAACAGTAAACCATTTTAATAATATGATTTAAATAAGATACGTAATACGCTTCTAATTAGTGGTTTATAATTACTGAAGCAAAATTTTTTCTTCTAGCATTTTCCCAATTTGTTTCCACCACATTCTTTGCAAATTTTTTGAAGCTGAAATAGGTACTTGAACACACTCATACTCATTGGAATGTAAGCTAATTAACTTACTATTGTTCAAAAATAAAACGAAACTAATTATTACAAGAGTGAGAATTATTTGAATGATCTTTACATAACTTTGTAACATATGGAATTGATATTGTTGTTACTTTGTACCGAGGCAAGCAATATGAACCTAAATAAGTAGGTACCTATATATCTACAGTACATTGTATGAGTCAATCAAAGGATGCAATCACACACAATACACATACTTTAGAGATTGATACTGCCAGTATTATTATAGCAAGACTCATATGTAAAATTGTTTGGTTCTTTTATCGTTTATCTTCTACAATAGATACTTTTTGGTTAAAATAACAAGAACAGAAAGATCACTTACTGGTAGCACCCAATCTTCTCGTATCCCTGGCGATATAGTTCGCAAATATGATAGACCTCATACTCGTCTTCCCCGAGCCACTCTTGCCCATTAACAAAACCTGACAAACAAAAGATAACTATGAAAATAAACAATCATCATCATGAAGGTCAAAAATACCAATTTTTACTAAGACCTGATAACGAGTTTGTTTTGAATAATTAATTAAGCGATTACAATCAAGTTTATCTATTTAAATACGCACCTTTTTCTTCATGTTGACGAAGTTTTACTAGGTCAAGGGTTCAAAACTTTATAAGCATTCAATAATATCAGCCACAAATAAACCTGTGTTCAACACAATTGCAACTGAAGATGACTTTATTATAATCAATTAATTTCCTTTCTAAGTTTAAAATTCAACAAGAAAAAGAAAAGTAGGCGTAATTCCCAATCACGACAAAGCCAATAACTTGTAATATGACAGCAGACAGATCACAAAATGACAGTTCCCAAGACAAAGACAAACTGTCAAATATAGAATTTGGTGTTGACATCAGCTCTAATCGTTCCGAAATATATAAATGATGTTACAGTCTATAAAAGTTCGGTAAAAATACAATTATGAATTAAAACTCAGTGTTAAAGTATAAAAAGAAACAAATAAGCTACAAATTCATTATTAAGACAGTGAAACATTTACTTTACGATTTATTTATCTGGCTAAAATTCTATTCCTAAACTACTTGCTGCATTATAGGTGCGTTCTTTGGATTGGAAGTGTTTATTTAAAAGAAGTCGGTTAAAAATAAGTAGTTAAATAATTTTATTACATTAATTTTAGATTTGAAAAGAATGAAAATATAGGAATATTATTTTACTTTTATTCTAGAACATATGTTTTAAGGAATCGGCACACATAAAATCATCTTAATTTAGAACGCGTTGTTATTGTGTCATGTCTACGTCACACTTTACGTTGGTGTGAAATGGTGTGTCATTTTTATTTAATGCTATTGTCATTTGTCAAAAAAGTGCTGTAAGATTTGAGAAAACGTGTGATTTTTCCCGAACTATCCTGCAATATGTTCGAAATTAAGTAAAACCAGAATAATTTACACAAGTTTTAACATGGCTCGGCACCGTGACTTTCGAAATAGGACTTTTTCTGATGACTACGACGACGACGATGTTTATGGACACTCAGTGGAAGAAGATAGTTGTATGTCGCCAAGCGACGCAGCACAGTGGATATATGACCGGAGCCGCAACAGCAGATTCAATTCTTGCAGAACCATAATAACATCCAAGAAGAGACTGAAGAAGACTTGGCAGATACAAGTTTCTCTTCACAGGAGCGACGTGAATCCATAGACTTGCGAAGCTTAAACCTCGATGAAGAAGACGAAGCCAAGCTTATGTCTTGCTTGGATGAACTTAGAAATGTTATCGGTGAAGCTGTTTCAGACAACATTCTTATACAAACTGTAATTAAGCACAATTTTGACTTCAGTAAGTCTCTTGATGACATATTGAATAGAAAAAGTAAGGAACCCGAGGTTCCTAAGCCAGAACTTGTGAAACCTGTGGTACTCATAGATCCTGTAAAGGCTCCCGTTATTACTACTGTAGAAAATACTCCAAAAGTTGTAGCAACTAATTTAGAACCAAAGACTGTTGGTGTTGTTAAAGGATTCAAAGTTGGACAAGATGGCAGCTCTAGCAGTCGACCTCAGACACCTAGAGACCAATCACCTTGCACAGAGAGGTTATCAAAGACTGAACAAGTTGATGAGATTAAATCAACACCCAAGGTAAAAGAAAATAAAGTAGATGCCAATGCACTGTATGTAAATGAGCGAGGATCAGACAAGGACCACTTGTATAGTAGTAATAGGCCATGTTGATGCTGGCAAGTCTACTCTGATGGGCAGGCTACTATGTGAAATGGGAGAAGTTAGTCAAAAAACTCTGCACAAATATGAACAAGAAAGTAAGAAAATTGGCAAACAGAGCTTCATGTATGCATGGGTGTTAGATGAAACTGGAGAAGAAAGAGTAAGAGGCATCACAATGGATGTTGGACGAGCTCAATTTGAAACAAAAACAAAAAGAGTTATAATATTAGATGCACCAGGTCATGCAGACTTCATTCCCAATATGATAACGGGTGCTGGCCAAGCAGATGTTGCTTTATTGGTGGTGGATGCCACTCGGGGAGAATTTGAGTCAGGCTTTGACTTGGGAGGTCAGACAAGGGAGCATGCTCTACTAGTGCGGTCACTTGGAGTAAGTCAACTTGCTGTAGCTGTTAACAAATTAGACACATCCAATTGGTCTCAAGAAAGATTCAATGAGATCACAAAAAAACTAAAAGCATTCTTGAAACAAGCTGGCTTCAAAGACTCTGATGTCACATATGTGCCATGTTCAGGATTGACAGGGGAGAACTTAGTGAAGTCTCCGACAGAAGCTGAGTTACTGAAATGGTACAATGGACCTTGCCTTTTAGATGTTATTGATAAATTCAATGTTCCTGAGAGACCTGTGTCAAAACCTTTGCGCTTATCTATAAATGATGTGTATAAAGGCACTGGATCTGGCTTCTGTGTTGCAGGCCGCATAGAGAATGGTGTAATCAATAAAGGAGACAAAGTTCTAGTGTGCCCCACTAAAGAAATGGCTGAAGTTAGGAATATAAGCATTAATGAAATGCCAAGCAATGTTGCTTTTGCTGGCGACCAAGTCAGTGTGACACTGACTGGAGTAGACATGCAGAATGTTTCTGTGGGATATGTATTAAGTGATCCTATCCAGCAAGTTCCTGTCACCACAAGGTTCGAAGCCAGAATTGTAGTTTTTAATGTCAAAGTACCTATCACGAAAGGATTCCGGTACTCATTCATCATCAATCACTGGTTGAGTCTGCAAACATTGTGAAGTTGAAGGCTTTGTTGAACAAAAGTACTGGAGAGTTGGTAAAGAAGAAGCCTCGTTGTCTGGGTAACAACTGTGTGGCTGTTGTTGAGGTAGAGTGTGTCGGCCCATCTGTGTGGAACGGTACAAGGATGTGAAGGAGTTAGGACGCGTAATGCTCCGGGTTGCTGGTACAACTATAGCTGCTGGTCTTGTCACTGACATAGTCAACACATGATTGATCTGATAAGCCTTATCATTGTTTAAACTTTAAATGTTATGGCATCTAAAGTACGTGATTGTAGTCCTAAAATAACGATAGATAATGAGAGTATGACTATAGAGAATATAGTAATGGTTGTTTCTTTTATAATTTTTATATAAAATGTTTTTGTCGGTCTTCCATTATTTTATTTATAATGGCTCTTTTTTACGTTATCAGATGCTATCTTCTATGTTATTTGGTACTAAGTGACATTATGATATTTAGCAGCCTTTTGCGTGATAATTCAATTAGGCAATCTTTATTTTTTTATTTCAGTGTTAAAAGTCTTATGTAATAGTTGCCATAACATGAATCACGCTGCTGTGTATTGTACACTGTATTGTGCTTTAACAAGTGATTGTATTTAATTATTAAATATTATTTATAATGCAAATAAAAATTTGTTGTAATACTTATTTTGTTATTATTTTCCTCTTAATCATGAGACTAACTATATTCATACACACACAAACAGCCTATAAATGCCCATTGCTGAGCAAGGCCTCTTTTCTAATGGAGAATGTTTGAACATTAATCACCACGCTTGCTCAATGCGGGTTTGCGATTTCAAACTTATAATTAGAAATTATAAGCCCAGGCTTCCTCACTGTGTTTTGTTCACCGTTTGGCAGTGATGTCTAAATAATCTTAGAAAGTACATATAACTTGGAAAAAGCTACAACCACGACGTTTCACTCGATGTTCGGCGCAATCTGAAATCTATTGCTTTAAGATTCAAAAGTAAATGATTGAAAAGCTCTGTTTTTCATTCTGAACTACCAAATTATATTTGTTTACGTCACAATCGTAAGTAAAAAAGTTCTGAAAAAACAATATTCGATATTAAGACATAAAAGAGTTTCAACAATATTTGCCGAGTGAAATGCGACAAGGAAACTGTTTCCCGCCAGGACCAAGAGATTTAATTTAGATAAGTAGTTTGCCGACGACAGCTTGTTATGTGCGCTGCAATCAACAAACTGAACATTTGTAGCTATCTCAAGTAATGCTGTTTCTTTTTATGTAGTACTTTTGATGTTTATGGGGAAAGTTAAGTCTAGTTATTGTTGCTAGCCGTTTAACTTAAACCTTTGTCTATTTGTGTACTATTGTAGAACATTCTGCCAGATTTAAAATTTACTTATTGTGTTATTCATTTTTACATGCTTCTAAACATAGGAGCTAAATGTCTACCTGGCTTCTAAAAATACTCCAACGTTTGTTAGTATCAAAATATATTTACAACATTCTAAAATATATTTCATAGCAGCTAAGAATGCCAGAAGCAGTGGCGCAGCATTGCTGTGTCGTGTCGACGTTTGTTCGCTGAGAGGTGCCAAGTGTCGCGTTCGTGGCAGGAGTCGTGAAATTTAATTTCCTACTAATTTCCCAACACTCGGCAGTTCACTGTTTACTCGCTCAGCTACGGCGGCGCTACAACCTTTAACGCTTTTCAATTCCGTTCATTGATTTCCATTTAGGTACATTTTCCCAATGTTCCTGTTTATTAACTCTCCAGTCATTAATTAACTTTAGTTTTTTCATCATAAAACAAAAGCAAATTCATTATTCTTAATGGTTTCTTGAATTGCATGAGTTCAATTAATTAAAAGTTGGGACCTTTTAAAGTGTTTTGGAAGCTGTTACTAACTTAACGGTTGGAAATTATGGGACCACGGAACTTTGATTGCAGAAGTCATACCGCGCGTCGCGCCGCGAGCTGGCGAAGCGCCTCTTAAAATGTTTTGAGCAAGAATTATTACGACCGCTTAACTTGTAACTTGTGCGATTGAACATGCAATTAGATTTTACCATCTGCTTTATACCGTTTCATAAAAAACTTAACTTCGTAAAAAACAAACTTTTCACTAGTTTTCTCGGAGGTAAAGAGGGGTAGATAATAGTTATAGTTTTATATTCGTTTCTATGGCAACTAATTACTTAAGTTACCCTTACTCCAACTTCTTCATTTCAATAAACTCTTAAAACTTACCCGGCGTCCATATTACATATAGTACATACATATCTAAGTTGGCTAGTCGAAGAGTCGGGTGTGATTATAAATCACCGTCGCGTGCGGGATTGCGCCGGCACTTTGTCCTATCAAGTGGGAGTCGCGTGCTCATTGGCTAGGAAACGAGTGTTGCCTTCGAGACGAGCTTTTTCAATGCCCAGGAATTTTACAAGGATCTAAGAAAGATGGTCACATTTTTTTTTATGTCGAAAATACTTTTTCCTTTTTAATCATATTGGGTTGCATGTTGCATGGGTGAATAGGTGAGATTGGAACTTATACGTAAAAAATGGGTCCCTAGGATTTAAAGCCGTGATGTTATGAATTTATTAAGTAAGCCCTTGCACGATTGTACAAAAAAACAAAGAAATAAATAACTGAAAGGGACTTATAATAATCTATGGCTCCTCCTCGATCTTCTTCGTAGTCATTGGTCGGATTCTAATAAATGTGTACGTTTTGCACGCAAAGATTTGTGTGGGTCCACAAACATATTTCAAATTATGAACGTGTCGAGTGCAATTCTGATACCCAAGTATAATTTATGAATTGTATCTATTTAAAATTGTAATTTCTGATATACTTTTATTGTACTTAGTTTAGTCTTTTTACACGATATATTTATTCAACCAGGCACCAAGGACAATATTTTCTCTTATACCTGTAGTAGAGGACCTACATTTAAACAAAAACGAATACGTACCTACTAGCTTTTATTAAACGGCTTTGCTCATGTGATTTTTTTAAAAGACGAATAGTATATTGCGTAAAGAGGCAACAAACAAATATCCAAGTTTCGCATTTATAATTTTAGTTGGAATATCATAATATAATTACTTATGTAGATTACATAATAGTAGATCTATTGGACAAGGGTCATTTTATACCCAAGAGAGTGCCCACAGATATAAATGCTAATAAATTTTCAGACATTAATCAAAGCATGGATCCTGCCAGTGACACGAGTGTTCTTAGGGGCTTTTCTAATTTAATTTATGGTAATATTGAGACCTCTTCTATTACGTCTGATGAATTTCTACATAACATTAAGCTTACCTACATAGCCTGCAAAGGGATTGGTTGATTGGGTTCTAACAAAAACCTACACAGTTTCATTGATAGTGAAAACATCAATAAAAATACACCATTGACTGCCTCATTGACCGAGTGGTCGGAAGTGTGACTGCGGCAATGGGTTTCGGGTTCGATTCTCGGGTCGGGAAAAGTATTACTGGGTTTTTAAAAAAAATCAGTAGTAGCACGGTGCATGGAAATGTGCCGGGTATATGGCAATAGGCTCACCCCCTATGACGTGGGACTCATAACTTAATAGTGAAAAGTGGGTGTTACATTGTACAGTGGCATTTAATGACGTAATGTGAACCTCTGCTTACCCCTTCGAGGATAAAAGGCGTGATGTTATGATGAAAAGATGAAAACATCAGATTCAGCTTTGACCTCGCCTATCAATTATGATTATTTTAAAATACTACCCAAGTAACAAAGGTACATCATTAGATATTTACCTGTCTACTGGGATATTTGACTATGGCGAAAAGTAGGCGACGCATGTAGGTAGTACCTACTACGGAGATACGTCACGATTTGGAACCATATTATTATGAATTATTTAGATGATCTTATATACCTCGTACTTTTTAACATTAAGTAGATACTCATTATGTTAGCTTAGGATTTAGAAAGTGACGGTTCACTTTAGATCAGATTAGGCACTTTAAATCTAGCTGAGAGCTAAGTGATTCCTTTGTTCCGACTTCAAATAAGAATTTCAGTAAGTTCTAGGTAGGTAAATACAGAGCCAAGACTAAGGACAAAGAGTTGATTGAAAAGGAGCAGACAGTCGTTAAGTACGTAACGGATTTATTCGTATTTTAAAAGCGAAACCGTGTAGCCATTTTGTTAGGACCTAAGTAGGTACCTATTTTTCAAATTCTTGGAGGTCACGTCTGTTTTTAAAGTCTACAAGTCTTGATTGGCACATTTTAAAATTACGTTTTCTTTTATGGAATAAGCTGGTAAACGAGCAGACGGATCACCTGATGGTAAGCAATCGACGTCATCCAGGGACACTCGGAACACCAGAGGCGTTACAAGTGCGTTACCGGCCTTTTGGTGATTAGGAATTTGAGGATTGTCGGGAATTCAGGGATTAGGGACATTGGGGAAGGTATAATTAGGCCTTCTGTAACCTCACTCACATGACGAAACATTAGGCAAGCGTTGTTTCACGCCGGTTTTCTGTGAGGTCGTGGTGTCATTCCGGTCGAGCCGGCCCATTCGCGCCGAAGCATAGCTCTCCCACACTTTACCCACATTAATATTATCTACTTTACTAAAAAATAAACAGTATTCAATGTAGGAGACCAAAAGGCTTTGTTCTACACAGTGATGTGCACATCATAATTACACAATTCAGCCAATTCATTTTAAAACAGCGCAGCTGCCGATCTATTTTTTACAACGTCAGGAAAAAAGTGTGTTCGTTCATGGACATGATACAATCTTGAATGCATCGTATATTCGTATGTAGGTATATGGTATATGTGCATTATATTACGTATATGTAGACGTTTACAGATAGAGCTATCGGTACAAAACCAGTATAAACTGACCGTCGAAACTGTGGAAAAATCATACAGAGAAAGAAAAGGAAGAAACACTATTTATTTTTGCGCAGAACACACATAAACTTAACAACTACGAAACAATAATAATACATTAATA